TATGGTTTGGTTTTGTATGTATTTAAAGGAGTGTCTGAAATAAAGTAACGGAATATTGGACTGGTGGTCTTTGTTCTTCCTCTTCGATTAGGGTAAGTTAATAGTGGACCGTTCGTTAAACATTGAGTAGCAAGTCTCTCCTCCTTCTTGCGTATTGACCATTCAAAGGTCGTTCACGTATCGATCAGTGTAAGGATAATTTTTGGTATGCAAAACTTTATTTCACTCAGTATTTACTATAAAATCATAGAGTAAATAATTAACTTTTGGTTATTTAAAAATGTATAGCGTTATAATTAGAATGCACCTTTATTTTAACAATAACTTATATTTAACATAAGATTAGCTGAAAAATCAATCTCAAAGTATGTAATTATTGAGATTATAAATATTTTAGATGAATAAACCGGTTCATTGTTACGATTTATAAGCAATCAAACAGATTCTATTATTAATCATGTTTTCAGTGGTGTAATTTCTCATAATTTTCAATTATGGTATAAACTGACTTTTCCACTGGATAATAAATCTCTATGGAATAAAATATGTAACTGATTGCTTCCCAGTGTTCTTAATAAAAGGGTTAATTATTTTTACGGAAAAATGGTAAGTAGTAAACTTATTGTCCAATTTTTAATTAACAAGCTTAATTAGCTATTTCTCAGTAAGTTAAATATACATACTTTGTTAATGTTAACAACTAGTGAATAGAATCCTAAGAAATCTCAGCTTCAGAAGTTGTTGAAATAAAAATAAAAAATAAATAACATAGTTTAATTGTTCAGAAAGAAAAATACAACTATAAAAACATTTAAATTTACATGTCCAGTTATTATATTCAGTATTCATATTAACATAAGCATGGTCAATACAATTAAGCTTTATGTAACAGTACTAGTTTATTTTAAAAACCTTGAGTTGAGTTAATTTGTGTAGACATTGTATGATTATTCAAGTCTATTTTCTTTGCGATGACTGTTTCTGTTTGCACATTTAACATTTTATGTGCCTTTCAATTAATTAATAACTAACAATTATAAATCACAACATGGTTACTTCGATAAAACTATACTCTAAGTTGTTTTTGTTATTGTTGAAAGAAATTTTTTTATGAATTATCATTTATCACCTTTACTGAACATAACAAAAGAAAAATAATTCTATTGTATGTTTCCTCTTGAATATGATTTACACTGCATCATTCTCAAATGTTTTTGTTTTTGAATGATGGCTAGAAGTTGACAAAACATATTCTCCGTAAACACTTCTGTCTAAGCATTACATTTATTGTCAACAAAAATTTGACTTAACTAAAAATTAGATAGTATAAAGGGTGTTTATCAACATTGTTTAAGAACGAACAAAATAAAATCATATGCAAATATTGATTGTCAATCGAGACATTATATTTTTAGAGAGCAGTTGGTACTTGAATGTTGAAAATCATTCACTGTATTTCATATTTGTTTAAACGATACTGGACTGTAAGGAAAGGTATTCTCTTTTGAAGACCGAAACCCTTATAACTTGGTGGTCTAACATTAATTTATTCCTGACTTCAAGATTGAAATTGCCGAATACCAGACAAATTGTTGTTCCAACTGATGTAATTAGGATGTTTTTATGAGAATCTGTAACTTTACAGTTTTCTGGGGCTACGTCGTCACTGATAAAACCACATTTACTGGATTCAACCTTATTATAGACCAACGGATGTGACTGTTAATATAAGTGAGACTGAATATTAGCTGATTAGAATAAACTACAACATATACATAAATCATTCATCAAAAAAAGCACTGAATTTGGTACCAGACAGTTGTTGGGTCGGTATTCAGTGGTTGATATTTAAAATGTTAGTCAATTGATGAAATATGTTGTTTAGAATTAACATAAACCAAGCTTTGTAAGTGCATTTATTGTGTTTAACTGCGAAGTATCCATTTTTGTGTTTACGGAAAAGTGTGAAACATGATATAGGAAACTACAACAATCTTTTAACAGCTAATTCTAAATAGAGTGTACTTTAAATAAATACTACAAATGTGTAGTACTTCTTAAGCAAAATCTGTCAATGTACATAGTGACTAATCACCTAGCAGTAACTGAGAGCCTGCTTGTTTAGCTCTTAGAGATGATTTTATCTTATGAACCGTATCAGAAGGAGGATCTACTTTGGTCGGAACCGTGCTGGAATCCCACGGCATAAATCAACACACTTATAGCAACAAATACGTCTTATTAAACATTGTTACAGCTCCATAGTGTTGACTTCAAATCGCTTCACACGGTTAGTGTGTGGTACTTGAGACGCATTAGATGTAAATGGTACCGATTCTCATACATGTAATAACAGTATTAGTCATAGACTAGAAAGTTACTTTAAAAAGTCATTTTGATTGATTATGCTGCTTACGTTTTTATATATTGCTATTATTCAAATTCCATGTGATGCAAGAGTTTATCCTACAGCGTGTGACTACTATTTTTAGAAGTTGAAATTGTCAATCATTTATTCTATTCTCAAATCCTATTTTGATTAGATAATGTTGTAAATAAGTTTCCTGAATACGAAGAAATTGTCTTTTTTTCTTTTTTATCTTCCAATACAATGATGTAACAATTTACACAAATTTGGATTATTTTGTACATAAATATGTTGTGGTAAGATAAAGTGATATATTTTTAGTGTCAATATTAATTTGCAGAAACGATTCTGAAGATTGTTTTATATAAATGAATAAAAGTATCATTCTGTCTAGTTCACATATATGGATACACATTAAATGTATTATCTTAGGATCAAACGGTTTTTGAATTTGGTTTTCAACCTCTAATATATCACCTACTGACGGTAACAAGCTGGAAGTAGGATTAAAGTACTATACTAGTTTTAATGTATCAGTATTATATAGAAAAATAAATGTATTTACATTCCACACGTATAAGTAATCTTTAGATAGTGGCACTAACATATGATTCTGATGACTAAATTCCACATGACTTGTTGTTAGTGCGTTTGCTATTCATACCTTCTTAACTGCTCTATTCACAAGGAATTCAGTAACCATACGAGACTTCTCAGATCACTTGTCTCAAAGTCAGACGGAATGTCAAGCGAACATTTGGGCCATTTTTGATTATCTCTTACGTTTAGACTATCTGGCTGTCTATAAATGTACAAGATCTGTGACCATGGAATGTCTTACTGCTTTAGCTACAGGAACTTGGAAAGTCTTAGTAGTGAATAAAATATCTAAGCCAATAGGCAAGTCATACTGATCATAAAAGCTTAGTGTTTTAAGTCGTGACTGAGACAAATTTTACTGTAATTTCAATAATGAATAAACCACCAATTGTTCCAAATCTGTGGTTACTTAAGCTTCAATAATATCGGTTTTTAAGTGTCAAAAACACATTTTACTGTGGGTGATTATAATGTAGTGAATAGTTTCAACAAAGACTGAGCGAGTTAATTAGCTTTGGGACAAAAGTGTTTACAGACACCTTACATTAAAAAGGGGTCAGAAAGAAAAAAATTAATGATCTTAAGCCACGATGAAACAGTCATTCAGCACTTCATGTTTCTGAACCGTTCTCAAGTGATTTCGCTTTGTATTATTCACTGCCCCTACTGTAACTTGTTGCAAATTTTGATCGGCCCAACTTGCATGATTTATGTGATCTAGGCTAAAACTAGCTGTTAGTTTTGTATAAAGAAGTTGAAATTTCCTAATTAAATGACTTTGCTTTTGCCAACTTGCGTCACCTGTGGCGAAGGTGAGATATCCGTTTGCTAATCAAAGGACGAGTGTGCTGTGCAGCAGTTCGCTCTGTTCTACTATATGGATGCGAAACATGGCCGATAAAAGTAGAGAACATTCGTAGGCTACTAGTCTCCGATCATAAGTGTCTTCGTAGCATTGCTCGTGTATCATGGGACAACCGAGTAAGCAGTGCCGTCGTTAGGAAAAGACTACTAGGTAAGGATGGCAAATCAATAGATGAAGTGTTGAAACTTCTTCAGTTGAGGTGGCTGGGAGATATGTTACGAATGCCTAACCACCAACTGCCTTGACGAGCTATGTTTTGTGGTGTAGTAGGTTGGAAGAAGGCTAGAGACGGCCAAACCAAAACATTTCATAAATTCATGAAGTTACTGGCAAGTGGACTGAGTTATGTTGGTAGATGTAGGCTACCTGGTTGGGGTCCGCAAGATGATAATAATCGATGGTTAGAGACCCTGAATGACATGGCTGAAAACCGTTTGCAATGGCGAAGGGTGCATTTACTCTTCGTGTTCTCCTGAATTCCTTATCACCTTAATCTTTTTAAGTTTATTTCACTAGATTCTAGTTCTTGAATAATATCGTTGAACCCTAATCTCTCCGATTACTACTAATACTTTTACTACCTCTACTACTATGGGATTTGAATTGACAATTACATCTCTGTGCTAATGTTGTATGTCAACTGGAACTGATGTACGTACGTACGAAGTTCTACGTTGCTGTTGATTGATTGAAATGACTTCAATTAGAACTACTACGTTACAAACAAAACATTCTTCTTCTCTGAAGGCTAAAGATAACAGATCGCATTGATAGTTCTTGATGCATGAATCTATGCTTAGTTTCTAGTTGCATTTGGTACAAAATGCACTGACACTATAAGATTAGGTAACATGATGAAAATTTTAAGTATATAATTTCACCAGGTCATAAAAAATGTTGTCAGACCGACCTTTTGACCACACACTTTGATAGGTCATATAACTAATTCCAATAACATGTTTATCATATACATAATGTGTATACTTCGGTAATGAGATATAATTTTAAGAATGGAAATATTTATAATAATTATACCAGTCACTCATAAACAACGTAGAACTGGGAATAAAAATTATGTAAAGTAATTCTTCTGATGTACCAAGATGTTTTGAACAAGGCTTCCACATAAGATTAGCACCTAACAAAAAGACATCTATCAGAGATATTCGAATGTATTTCTTTTCAAACGGCATTATACGATGCTTAATATCGAGCTATCTGGTCTACTTAAGACACAATAACTTGAAGAACATGTGTTTACATGAAGACTAAGAGCATGGACACAAAATTAGCTAGTAGTACTTGACTTATCCGAATAACTGGGTTGCATTATAAACTGACAGGCCTATAAAGCTAATTTTGACAATATTACGACGTCCTTGCCGTGAAAAACAATAGGAGACAAAATATCATTGAGCATCGGTATTAACAACTTCACGAATACTTTAATGCAATCTTTAATGAATTCATTTATAAAGCTAAACACAGACTGACAAATAAACATATAAGACAGAATGATTAAAAATAGGTAAAGGAAGAAATAAAAAACGAAAATAATGTCCACAAATTTCTATAAATGAGGAGGATAGATTATTTAAATGATCGATAAAGTTAAGGAAGAACTCCACTTGTTTATTTTCTTCATTAAGACATCTAAAATGATGAGAAACGATGGCAACTAAAAGGTAAACACAACTGTAAGAACATTAGCAAAATAAGAGATGAGTAAAAAGATCCTAATCGGGTATACTGTCGTTTGTTGGTTACACACCGTGTGAACACACATTATTTATAATAATACTAACACAGAGATGGTGGAATTCTTAATTTTAAGTAGGAAACTAAAACAGACTACACGATGATAAGCACGGAAAATGTGAAGGTAAACACAAAAAACAAATATGTATACAGTTTTTTTTCAAAGTTTTGGAATGTGTTTGATAACAAATTTTAAAACGTAATGTAGCAGCTCAATTAGTGGTTAAACTGGGTTGATGACAATAATCATATTACTAATTTGAAGTAATATAAGAAAATAAGATAAAATCGATAATAAGCAGAACTGCAGTCAAAAACAGGGCTTTGATCGTATAAACAACAACAAACAAATAAAAAGAATGGATGAAAGTAGGAAGAAAGGAAAATTAACCGAGGAATGAAATTCTTAATTGATTTATAAAAATGTGTCTTAGAATTTGGCGCAGCTAGATAATTAACAACGCATATATATGTATTTATAAAGAGGAAACCACTGGATTTTTTTATTGATAGTAATAAAGAAAAATAATAACAGAATATCACACATACAGAAATAAGACGAAACAAAAGAAAGAAATCATTCAAACAAATTGAACGGTACGATAATGACAGTCTATTTTTTCTTTAGCTTTCTTTTCTTCCTTGCGAAAAAGATGAATTGATTTAACTGTATATAAACGGAAAGTGGAACAAGATAAGTGGTTATGTGGCATAGTTTTCAGAATGGGCTAACATGTTAATATACGCCTAATGTTTACACGAGACAACACAAAATAAACAATAAAATCCAATTGTTTGTGTTTGATTGATATTCCTCAACTTCATACTACTGATTCTAGCTAATTTATTAAAAACAAAAAGATCAATAAGGAAATATTTTTGAGTGAAATTACTTTACAAATTATTATGATGACGGTCGATTAAGAGTTGTCGTAATCATTTACTTTATCTACCTAAGCAGAGAGAGTTTCTAACATTTTCCTATCTCACGAATACTTTTTGAAACGATTTCATCTCATTTATCGTCAACAAACGAAGATGCTATCTATTGTATAATCTGTCTCTGTTTAACATACCGCAGTAATAGACCCTTTTACCAAGAAATTTATACGAGCTAATTTGAGAACTATAAACAAAAAAATTTACAGACACCAAAGAATACCAATACAATTATATACACAACTAGATATAATAAATTATTTAGCTGTCATTTATTACAATCAGATGCAATGTGGAATGAAATAATTATCATGAATTATAAGATGCAAACAATCAATGAATACCAGGTAAAACTCACATTATATAAAAATTTTTATATTTCACCAATATATATAATATATATATATATATATATATATATATATATATATTAGTGTTTGATTGGCTGAAAACAGCAAATTACTGTTTTTTTTAATGTTGTCATTTTAGTCATGAGCCACAGTACCACGAATACTACCGACAAGGCGTTGCTGAAAACGAGAAAAAAACGTTTACAGTTTATGCATGCAGACTGAAAACAACAGATGCAAAAACTTGGTGGTCGAATCTAATATACAACCTTATACCATACATTTTTACCTACTCAGTTAAAATTCGGACAAAGACGTATTAATGATCTAACTAGAGAGGCAACAAAGAGAACTAAGTTGAACTGACGGTGATTTCCAGCCTTAAACAGGTACTTAATATATGAAATATCTTGGAGTTAATGGGCAGCTTAAACTTGGAAGGAATAATATTTACAAACTCAACAAATTCTCCTAAATTTACAGACTATTTACTAATAATACTAGCTTCGGTTATATAAAATTCATAGTGTTATTTATTGACAAACTAGTTTGGTTGTTTTCTGGAACCAAAAATACTAACACACTGCGAATACTACTTAAAAAATCTACTGATTTGGTTTTTCATCAAGGTGAAAAGAACACTGAATGGCATTATCTATTGAAATCGAATTGTGATGTGCGACTATTAATTAAGTTGCTAAGAAGAACAAACTGAATAGCGACTTTGCATCAAGTATTCTTTTTGCTTGATGCTTAATTTATTGAATTATTCACTTGGCAAATAACGTACACCGAAAATCCAAGCGAAATCTTCCAAAAATATTGACCAATGACGTGCAACATATGATTATAACGAAAAGGAAAAAAATATAATCATACATTTATACCTAACAAACAAACATACTTGATCTAATTCTTCTTTTGTTTTATTTTCTATGGCCCGTATATCATCCATGGAAAGTCCGTGCCATTTATCAAGCCAACAAAAAACTTGACGGTTGAAATTAAGGAAAATTCGCCTTTCTTGCTACATAAGTCAAGAAAGAAAGTAAGAAATGCAATCCTATATGTCGTTTACATGCAACATACATTCTGTATCATATTTTCTACTCGACCTTGAATACCCCACCATTTGAATTCACATGTAACAAGTTTGTAGGCGCACATTATTGGTAGATCTGTATTCTAATTTGTGTAAATAAGATAAATGAAAATAAGAATATACTAACTTCCCACCACCTTGGGCCTACTAATGGACCTCGACCAGTTTTTATTGACTGGTATGTTCTAGGATCACATGCTGGGTCATAGTCAGAGGCACTATGTAGTTGGTCATTTACAATATCAATGTATACGACTTCTCTTTGAGCCAAGAGCTTTGGTGGAAGGTTGTGAACCTGATAAAATAATTTCATTCTTTTAAAAATTGGTACTTACATTTTCGATATTAACTTTATCTTGTACATGCATTGACTCAATCATCAAAGTAAAGTTATCTTGCATATATTTAGGATTCTGAAAAGTGTATGAAGTTATTTGTATATACCTGTAAAACTGTACGACAATAAGGGTAAGCATTCCATGCTTTCTCGTCAATTTCAAGTGATCCTTTTGGAGCAAGCAAACGTACGTAACCAGGCACTTTCCTGGCCAGATAAAAACGTTTATGAGTATATTGGCCAGAGAAGAATTCTTCACCATTGGCTTTTAAAGGTGACTGGGGAGGGTTGACTTCGCGATTGAATGGTTCATTCACTAAAACCTCTATTCCTTCCCCACCCCCAGTTTCGTTCTTAGATGCCTCTGCAACAGCCCACAACTGTCCAACATGGTATTCATCAACAGTTAAAGGTAGAATTATGCGACTACATACAAAAAAGTTATGCAGGAAAGGGTTTATATTGTTATGCTATGAGTGGAATGTAACATTTTTTATCATTTCAGTAAAATAATAATACATAGAAATGGATGCAAAACATTTAACAAAGTACATAAATCTAAGTTGTAATAATTTATAATAGAACATAAAATATCAAAGAAAGTGAAAAAATATTAAGAAGCAAGAGTTTGGATCGAGAAATGTCCTGGTACGATCGAGAGTGAGGAGAAACCGCTCTCTCTCGAAATTCTATCATATAGTAATGAGTATATAGCAACTATCAAGTAAGTCCTACTCACTGCCTTCTCGTGACACAGGTGATGTTTACAAAATTAAAAAGACGAAATGAGTATTTCCGGCTTTTGAACCAGATTGATGGGTACAGTGGATCTACCTAGAGAGTTAGAAAACCTTGATTCCAAACCAACGGTGGTCATGAGCTCTGGGATCCTGAGGTGGAAAATGGCATACGCATCTATTGTTGGTGACTGGTTATCATGGGACTAAATTTCTAAACGGCGCTGCATTGTCGTGTGGATTAGAGCTGTAGGCGAAAAGCCAGATGAGTGTCTTCCTACGAAAATTATCTACTTCGGTTCTGGTACCTGTGAAGTATCCAATTAAGCCTGCACACAAATACAATGATTTGTGTGCTGCATGAATAGTTAGATGTCTGTTTGTATAAATAATTGTGTTTAAATAAAATAAATTACTTAAGAGTAAAAATAATACAAACGGTCCAGTAGCTTTTGGTATATTATCTTGAGAGTCCCTAAAAGGTCGACAATTTATAAGCAATTCAGACGAGTAGTCCTTTTCCCCGTGAAGTATCGGACCCTTAGCATAAAGAAGTACTAATAATAACTGTTTGCTAGTATCTCAGAAGAGTTAACTGAGATAGTGAGTGCATCAGGATTCTGTATTGAAAATTCGTGGTACGGAGAAAAGCAAGAAATATATGCCAAAGGTAGAGCAGAATATACTTGAAATCTAAAGTACGATTGGAACGATATGGATGGAAACCTAGACAAACAAAATTTTTTCAAGCCTTAGCTGAACATTTTAACCGAGAAGACTATAGATGACTATTGATGTGATTCAAGTCAATCAGCTTTTCCTAGACTAGCAAAAAAGTACCATCGTCTCATCCACAATTTAATTCTATATTTTTATTGAGGAATCACATGGGAAACTATTTATGCATTGAATGAAATAACTTCTTACAAGTAAACTATCGCGTTTAAGAATTTGTTTAATGTTGTACATATAACTACTTCCTAAAAAGAACCTATCTGGCTTTACGGGATTATTTTTTTAGACCTTATAATCTTTACTAAGTTCTTCGCAATTTAGCTGTTTAAAATATACAGAATAATGTCTTTCTATTTTTGAACTTTGCCAAAGATCTAACTAGTTCTTCTCAAGTGTAACAAAACTAGTGATATTCAGGATTGAGTTATCGATAGTGAACATAAAACAAAGTACGGCTTGTGAACCTTACTGAAGCCAGTAAAAGAACCATTCCATGAACAGTGCAAATATCACAGGTATAATTTTAAGCAACTTTATTAGACGGATAAAAACAACGAAGCAGTACTTCATTCCTTTTTGACCTATAGATTTTTTCAAGTAGTGAAACAATATTAGTATCGATTGAAGTTAAAAATATTCCTACATATCATTACGAGTGATGGCAAGATAACAAGAGTATGAGTGCCTTGTTTACCTTTCAAAATACTTAGGTCTCTGAGGATACTGAAAGGGTAGTTGGGAGCTTACTAAAAGATTTACAAACTGGACACCGGTCTAGTGTCCCAGTGAAGGTGCAAGATGATTACTACAGAGAGAGTGATGTGTGTTCTGTTGTGTCTCTGAAGCACTACTTACGTATGATGATGTGAAATACCTTCCTAACTATATAAGACTGAGCAGTCATATACCATATCTGCATTCCACAAAATGTCTACTTTAATTCTTAATATAAAGATATTTATTCGTTGAAGAACTTGCAATCAATTACTTTTGGGTGGACATGCTATGCTCACACCCATTGAATCTCTGCCTGAAGTACACTGGCTCATTGCTAACTCAATGGTCGTATCATTTAATACTCGCGATGTGAAATTTATTTTCAAAGTAGGAAAATCATACACTCCTTGTATGTGTTTCAAAGGCAAATCATAAAAAGTAGACCAGATAAATTTTGTTTATACGGGGACAACAAAATAGTTTCATATGATCTCACTGACGTCATGAGTCGATCAATGTTACACCACCAATAAAAACCTGGAAGCACTGTACGGCCGTTTCGTCCTTGTATGAGACTCATCAGCAGTCCGCACCCACGGGCATCAAACCCAGGACGTTTAGTCTCGTGCGCAAACGTTTAACCTCTGAATCACCGAGCTGACACTCAACGGTGTTGATGTCTAATTTTAGTCACTTCATAACCCCATGATGAAATTATAAGATGAAATAAAATTGACTGATTTGTCTCGTATTTTCTAGAACTGTTTTTGCTAAGAATATTACAGTAACACAAGTAATGAAACATTAGCGGTTTCGTATGCTGTTTACGGAGACGGACTATAATGCGCGTTATGAAATGGACAAAAATATCGGTTTACCGTGCTTAGTGGTCGAGACACCGACTAACCAGATTTATACAACTTCTATGTCAATCGGCAAGCGGATGAATACATCTTAAGACCCGTGAAAGATTAGACAAAAATCATCGCAAGCGAAGCTTCGTTCTTATCTAGCAGGTCATTGTGTCATCCTAATCTACATCTAGTTCAATTTTTAAGCGGTGAGTATAGTTAGTACGATTATCGAAGACAAAGAGCATACCGAAGCGTAAGTATCGTATCAGAGAACATTTACTAAGAGAATGGTGAAACAAAACTGTAAGTGCATCGATTGCGAGTGATATGTGTGTAGGAAATGTTAAAACCTATGAAATCCTCAGAATACTGTGAACTATCACTAGTGAAGGGTTATATCCTTCATTTCAAGGATAAATTTGTTAGGACTCAGTGAATAATTGCCTGAAAATGGAACCTCATGACTCAAGATTAACCACAATTAAATTCAACAAAAATTATCCCACAACAGTTACAAATAAGAAATAGGAAAACTAGGTCTACCTACAACTCTTTGATAATCATCGCGCTGCAAAATTCAATTTGGTTCACAGCTGATGGAATAATATATGTATTTAGATTGAACAATTATCAAGTATCCAATAAAACAGTTTACAGCTAATGTGATTATGTACATTTATCTGCGCTTGTGTATTGCTGCTATTTTTTAAATCCTGGCTTTCAACTGGCTGAATCTTCGTATCTGATAGTAACAGTTCTCTCCTGGAGGAATTCAATTATCAACTAGCATGTAAACAGTAGTGGCGTAGCTCAGATGAAATGGTGTTTCTCCATAGACATAAATAACTAAAAGCAAAGTAAGATATTGTCCATGGAGCCATCTGTACAAATCGTGTGAGTGAACTACCTATCCATATCATTTTATTAACTATAACTCCATGTTTTCTCAGTCACTAAGTCGTCACGAAGTTTAGGGCTTAAGAGCCGGAGAGATTCCTAGGCTCTTGAAACTATTAATAAATGATTATTTAGATGAAATTCAGCTGAAAGCCCCAATAGGATAGAAGATTTCAATATTCCTCCCTTTCGTCGCTCCCCTCAAGTGTTATTTAGCCATATTTAGACAACCTTTTTACTCGAAACAAGCAATTATCAAATCCATATGATTTTTATTGCTTTCTGACGAAAAATTCCGCAGAAATATACTGAAACCGGATCTAATGAGGCTTTTCTCCAGACAATTTCTTGTAAGTCAAAATTTTTAAAACCGTGGAATAAATTAGCAGCGTTCATTCTGCGTATTCATAGGAACTGGCCACCAGCTAGACTCGCTCCTCTTGTTGTATGATCGACGTTGCTATCAGATCTGTATTTTATTCTGATTACACTTTCTAACCAAAGGAATAAGAATCATTCCAACAATTGATGCGCACTTGTTTAAAATGGAAGACTTAGAGATTGGTCTTTCAAAAATTTAGTACGAATGATTTCTTCTCCAATATGATCCTAAAACACTTTTGTTTATGGTCGTTAATCTTTAGTATTTTTCCTCGTTGATACTAATTTTGAATTCTTGATTAATATCACAAAACATTTGAATCATTGCGGATTGAAAAGCAATTCAATAAGCATAACCTTTCACCTGTCGAAGTAGATAGTGATAACTGTAAAGCGCAGACATTCAGAATTACCATTTTGTAAATATGAATTATATTTTACTTGCCTGGACCACTACTTCATTAAACGAAATATTAAACTGGAACGGAATCGATAGCGAAATTTTTCTTCAGAGTTCCTGAAAGTAATTCCTTGGTCGGTTTTCGGTCCTGTCCATAAAACATTCTCTAGTCACAGCTGTGCTAAACTGCAAGACCCATGACAGTTGGTGACTCTGTCTAATAAACTATCGATCTGGTTTCTTAGTGGCTTCAATTACCCCAAACTGAACCTACTTGAAACTTGGAATCGTAAGAAGAATTCTTTACCCCAGACTTAGTTTTTATAGCTTTGGTATAAGCTGTAAGCATCACTGTTATAATCCAATACATAAACGGGAATGTTACAAAATTGTCCGATCTCCAAATGAGATTGCAAAGCGTAGAAGTAAGGCAGAGCGACGAGAAGACTAGTGAGCCAACTGTATGAGAGGAGTCTTGACTAAGTATTGATAGCTCAACAGAAATAGGCAAGACATACAATAATAAGCAAACACTGAAATAAAAAAAACTAGATATGAGCGAATTGCAGACAAGTTCGAAAGACAAGTGAATACTGATTAAGGCAGAAATGTTAATCAGTCTGTTCAAAGGCTAGAGCAAGCCGTATGCGCTGAAAATATAAGTACACACCACAGCCTAAATAGGCCACGTCAAGTCCAATTTCTAAATTTTGCAGTACTTCCGTCTGTGGTGTATGTGAAATTCCTGAAAGCGGCACTTTACGACTGCTGAGCATTTTTATAATAACTTCTCAGTAGTGCTCATTCACTTCTCACCGAAAGCTAATACGATAGACCGGACATGCGTTTGTTAAAAAAGCATAAAAGAAACAAAGATATCTAAGGAAATTATACTATTGGGTCACTCAGCGGCATGTTCGTGAGGTTCGGTTTTAGAATCGTCTGTCCGGATATATGGTGTTTTCTCACCTGCCTTATGAGATATCATGAGATCAAAGTGAAAGGAAGAATCTATGTTTAATAAAGAGTCAGTAAGCACACACACTCGATCAGGAGATTTAATCAGCTTTTGTAGATAATAAACTAGATATGTTAAATGTTCTGTTAACATAGAATTATCTGTACAGAAAGAACGGACAAGGAATTTGAATGAACATAGACAATGTGCTGACAACTTGAGGACAAACTCGTATGTTATTAGTACTGCACTTAAACATGAATACAGAGCATTTCGTCAAATTGCAACTGTTAAAGCCTATTCCTTAATGATACCGTCTATAACCTTGAATGTGAAACAGTAATGGGTTCACTTGGTATGGCACCCGTCACTTCTATCTGAGGACATTATTACAAGGACACGGCAATTTACATCGTGGATTCTGCTTTTCGTACCATGAATCATATTCTGGTGCACCGAAACCTACACCCCTATTTCTATGAAGACTGTTTGTAATATCTCGTCAGTATTGCTATGCAACTGGTCACTATGAACTCTGTGACAGTTGTTAAACTATGATCTATTCTGGAAACTGCAGTGCGTAGCGCAACCCATTTTAACGGAGAATTACTCATTGTTGTTACTGTTATCACTTAAAACAATTTAGTAGATAGATATACAGAATGACTTCGTCATAATTGTGACTCTGAGTCTGCGTGACAACTAGCTAGATCACCTATCGCCGAAAGCACAATTTTTGCTGGATGAGAAACTGTGATAGTCAAAATTACAAAAAATCCAAATTATAGGTTTATTTATCCAATGTCTAATAAGTTTAGGTGATCACTGACTGACATGGTGACACTGGAGTCTTCACGTAGGAAAACCCCTTCTTCATTACTTGTTCTAGCATTATGCAGGAGATTGTAAAATGTTTGCGTAGTAGCCTCTTTGACCTTTGGTATGAATCGTCATCAAAAATACTGCGAGTTGTATCATTTAATTTAATAAGATTTTTCGGGCCAGCGAAGGATTCCGAATATTGCCATATAGTCGTAAATTTATCTGGTATACAGTGACGTGTCATGTAGGACAAATCGATTAATGAAAAATTATTGAGTGTTTGAAAAGCAAAAGACCGTTATTATTCTTAAATTTAGGTCTTCAGTAATCAGAAAATGATAGTTTTCATGAAACGCTGGGAAAGCGACCGTAATCCACTGTTCTACTTTCTTACATAAGGGATAGTCTGGTAAAATCTTACTGTATCGTTCGGACTTGATGCAACTGCAATCAAATAAACAGGTTTAGTCAAGGAAAAGTGAGAATTATGGTTTAATGATCGCTTGATAAAATTCGGCATACGCGAAAGCTGGAGACAAGGTTCAGTGAATGACAGTTCTGTAATATAAGCCACTTTAAAAGTGTTCTCAGAGTATGAATATACAATACTAATGAAAATATCACTATGTTTATACTAATTCTCAGATAATCTACTACATGAAACATGCCAGTTTGAAGTGAAATCAATAAGGTAGAAATGATACGCGATATGCTATGATACGTCGTTCAGTTAGGTTAATATTTACAAGACACTAGGTTCATAAATTTAGATAGGAATTTTTGCACTCAGGATGGTTGATAATGTTAGGAAAAGTTAAATGTTTAGTGTAAATTTTGATGCGCTGTATGTTACTTACCTGTGGCAACTTAACAACAATGCAGATTTATATCACGAACACTTGAGTCTTACTAACATTCTCAGTTTACGGATGTACGCCAATTTATTCTATAGTTTCCATACCAGTATATTGTTATTTCTGAATTGGCTACCCATGTACTTCTAGTCATTACTCTACAGTTGTTTGAGTTGGGACTCACTAAGCATAACATTATGATACTACTTGATATACCACACTCAAATTCTGTTCTGGTGCGTTCTTGAAGCGTGGTTCATTGATGCACTGGTCGCTGACTACCTATCTAATAATAAAAAGAAATTTCATTTCATGAGCCAAAAATTTGTCCATAAAATCTTACTACTTGAAGCAGTTTTTGTCATGTTAATAGATAAAAATATCGCAATAAATCTCCAACTTTTATGGTTTTCGGAAGAAAATGTATAAAATACCGAACCATGTGAAACTAAAAAATCCATGGTAGAAATTGCAAGCGGCCAATTTAAGCGTATGTGTAAATTAAATGCATCATAAACCAACTGAATAAAATGATCTTCAAATTAATAATTTGTTGAACACTGAAAGTTCTTGCTGCAATATTATTGTTTACATAGGTTTGAAGACTTGTGTGTTATTTTAGTGCATCTATCAAACAGTCGAACGTTTATTAACAAAGGAGTTGGCTTATGGCTAGCAAAAATAATAAAACTCTTAAGATAAGCTCCTTGTGATCTACGCGCTGAACATTTACAGCTGTAAACAGCAAAAATAACTTTTGCCTATCTTAGAAAAAAAGCTAGTGAAATTTATATGGCTACTCGAATAGTTTTTCGCAGATATCAGCCTCTCCGAAAGGCTAAGGACTCTGAAAGTTCCTCATTTAGCCTCAAGTTGAAGGTAGTAATATCAATAGGTTACACAGACGATAGGTAAGGTATTCGCCATGAAGTTAGCTATTTTGTGATCGCTTAAAAATTCGAAGTATGGAAAGCCACTGAAATTTGGCGAATTAAACGTTTGATTGCCCTGAAACTTGAAAAAAATATTTATAGCTTGCTATTTGAACTAATTATCAGGCTTTCTGTCGTATTCATGTCAGAAAAGGACTGGATGGATCATTTTTAATCCATATAAAGTAATATGTTTTGCTTACTGAAAGAATCTAAAGATTTATCACCGTCTTAATATAAAAGGATGAATTCAAAGCAGCTGATGCGAGCAGCTTTACTGGCATATTATTTTGGAAACCAAAGTCGTTAAAAAAAGATTGAAGCAAATGTCATGTAGCGTTTGACTGAAGGATACAAAGATCGGATTTTAAAGTTTAAAGATAGTATTTACGAACACGTGATTCTATAACAATAGCATTAATGCAATAGACAAATATTTCATTGTTTAAATGAAGCAAACCGTCCAAAGGCAGAGTGTCTAGTTTATAGCAAATACGAAGTTTTTTGATGCTTCTGCGCATGTCGTGGTATCGCTGTTGTCGGAAGATCGGTGAGCTTGTAGGTACCATTATTGGGACCAGATTTGGGGGTGCTATGGTTGCGACGGCATTTGGATCTGCTTTATCTGGAGTACTTTACTTCACTATTAATGACTATGAGCATGTCAAAATGAAGGTTTGAGCAAAGTCCTGTTCAATGAAATTTGTAATTAGTCTGTAAAAACTGACATTGGACACTGTTCTCCTGAAGAAAAGTTTAGAACCTTTGCCTCACTACAATACAACGGTGTTTTGCTGATGACTCCCTCAGATTTTCTTCATTCTTTGGTTGATAATCAAATACAAGGTAAATAATTGTTTAGCCAATACTATAAAGCTGAATCAGGAAATATGATAGCTTCAAGAGATTATGAGTTTATTGAGAAAATAATGACGAAGGCGTCTAAGATGAAATATGGGTCTCGTTTTTTCCGAAACCTTCAAAATAATGGCATAATAACATTTTCGGAATATTTGTTCCTACTCCATATGTTAACAAGTAGAAATATCTCTTCACGGCGTTCATATATTTCAGAGTCCCCTTCAGGTTATGAAATAGCATTCAAAATGCTCGACAGGGATTTAAACGGATCTGTTGATGCCAGAGAATTTATGATCGTTAGTGATGATTTTCTTTCATAAACATATACATTATTAATTCAGTTGAATCATATAATCTCGGAGAGTGCTGCTGACTTGCCCGATGCCGATAAAGCGTCATGCGACCTTGTAAGTTATGAGCCTATTTAATAACCCTAAACTACAGTTGCTTCCGGAAGATCAAGCTTATAATACAACTCTGATGACTCATCTGTTTGGTTATAACAAAAACAACAAATTAACATTTAATGAATTTAAAAAGTAATGTTTAAAGGTAATAATTTGAAATTGTTAGATTTGTGCAAAATTTTCAAACCGAAGCTTTAGAGGTTGAATTTCAGCAATATTCATCCGGGAAATCTACGATTAGTTCAGTTGACTTTGCTCGTATTCTTCTTCGTTACACTACAGTTTCTACTTCCGAGTACGATTCATTTATCAGTCGGCTTGAAAATTCAGCTCTCTCTAATATAGTTCGTTCAGTTTTTTACACGACAAGTTTTATTTCAGACAATTTCCTTCGCAGAATTTCAAAAGTTTTTCACCTTTTTAAACTGTTTGGATGATTTCGCATTGGCAGTAAAAATGTACACCATAGCAGGGAAGCCAATATCTTTACGTAAGTCTGACGTAATGTTAGTGGCTTTTTCACAATTAAACGTTTTAACCTAAAAGGTTGTCAAAAAATCCATCTTTTAGAGTTTTACAGCGATCTAATTTTAACTTCAAAATAAAATTCTATTCCTAAGTTTTTAATACTGATTTATAAATCTGTGAATAAAATATTGAAGTGGTGAGCGATTCTTTTGGAGCACTCCACGTTTATAAACGAATATATTAAGCATATAAGTATGTTCATCAGTTTTAATATTAAATTTACCGTCAAGATGTAGATTAGCATAAGGTATCATTTAATTATTTGGATAAAAAATGAAATAAACTTACTAAATCGATCGACTTTATTTCCAAATTTGCATCACAACTACAGCGCTCATGTGATTAACTCCCCTCCAACGAGTTAGTTCAAACCCTTGTACATTTTGCCAGCTTTCTGTTTGCAGTCCTTACCATAGGATCATCAGTTAAGAAGTCGCGTTATGTCTTGTCTTTACTTTTTCAATCCCATTTATTATCTCTTTAAACACCACTGATAATGCTGGTTATTTGTGAGAATGTCTCCATTTCTATTAAAACTGGGGGAACATGTGGTAGTTTAAGGCCTTTTTCGACATCGACAACCGGTATATCTGATATGGTTGAGACGAATAAACATGGGTTCTAGATAAGAGAGACTATAAATACACAACTGGCTTGATGCTTATAGCATGAAGATGAGTGTGTTTAGGTTTTTTTTAAATATATATGATCGCGATAAATTTTTATGCTGAAAGGTGTGAGTGATATCTGATTGATTAACTCAGTTATACTTGATGATCAATATTTCAGAAATTATAATATATTTCTCTTCAACTGATTTCTGGACTTTCCCTTTTATTTTACAAGGGTTTTCTTTTCAATTTTTTTAGCCGAATTTAAGCGAGCCGTTAGAGCATGTATCGGTAATGAACTAAGCTCTGATGTTTTGACAGTCTTATTTGCTCTGTTTGATTGTGATGGAGATAATTGTCTTAGTTATAATGAATTTATTCATATCATGCGTGAACGACATTCCGGGGGGTTATCGGTATGTTGTTTGAGTCAGCTGTTTGCTTTATATTTGATACCTAACATATTAACTGTTTGAATATATTTAGTTTGCATCAGTATAATCCCATGGTCTTCAAAGTTCCCGTGTCCTTTTAATTTGAAATCGATTGATAAATGAGGGCATAGTACTTCGTTCATTCATTGTTACACTTCTTTGGAGACGATACTCTATGGGTTATATATAGTTGACCCTCATATTTATTTTGGGGAAAAAGTTGAATAAACGCATAGAACGAGATCAAGGCTGCTGTCAATGTCCATTCTTTGCATCGTATGTGAAATAAACTCTGTGTATTTGAGAGCCTGATCGCTCGAATACTGTACAGCGGCAAAGCGAACATGTTCTACTGAACAGTAATTATAATATCATACAATTAGAAACACTTGGACTTTTGAAAAATGTCATAAGTAAGGTTTAACTGACATGATTAAGGCGAAAATTTTAAACATGAGCAGATACAGCAGTTGGCCTTGTCATAGGAAATTAAGTCAGTATAATTTATTTGCAACCTGAAAAACTCGTATATTTTACCTAATAGAGTAAAGTTTACGCAAATCAAAAATGAAAACTGTATGACATTCACCCATTCTAACAGCCTTTACATTATGTTTTGTCATTGAAAAGGCCCTTATTTTTGATCAAGTTCAACTGTAAACGGTTCGGAATAAGAAACGACCATAGCTACTAAGTAGTAGTGGCTGCCAAAACTACAAAGATTTTATCCATTACTCCAAATACAAAAATATAATTTTACTCAGTCAATGATAGCATGCACGGAAGTCGTAGGTGAAATTCCGAACAGCCAATCTGATAATCAAGGTTTTAAAAGCTGGAAAATTCATTTTTTGATTTTTTAAACTGCCTGAAAAAAATGTTTCGTGCTTTAACCTTGTGATTCAGCAGTTAAAATTTACGATCTGTTAGGGCAGACTTGGAAAAAATGGCTACTTTACACAATTTTATCTAAGTCCTTTACTTAGTCATGGTCAAAAAACTTTGGTAGAAAATCAGTGTCTTTCAGGTCATGTATTATATTGTACAGGTCCCAAGGAGTGTTATTTGATCCAAATTTTGATTGAAATTTTGTCCAAGAAGATGATTAAATAGTTAGAGAAGATAAAAAAGTCTTATGGTCACCCAGAAAAGGACAACTGTTAACGTGTGATATAAGAACTAAGTAAGTATCATAATAAATCTACTTACACAAGAGAAACATGAAATATTGCTATAATTTCTCTTTGTTTTCCCCATTTTATTTAGCAAACTGCTAAACGTCATCACTACACAAAGATGTTTAAAAAATGTTTAAAACGTGAACTTCAAAGTTCAGTGAACTAAACCAGGAATGACTGTTCCAGTTAACACTTCTAAATCAACTCTTATGCTCAATTGATTTCAGCAACATAACTTATTTTTCCTCTTTCCGAAATCAAAACAAGAACAGTGCAAAATGGATTAGGTTTGTTTTTTTCAGCCAAATTATATGTAAAACTGTTTTGACTTAATTTGATAGATAAATCATCAAGTCTTTGAATAGTGCTCCAAACATGGTCGTTTATCATATGGGTACCCTGAAATGAAGGTTTGAACCTATAAGTTAAACCTTTTCATTCCTTACTAACGTTTATTAATATATACTTGACAAAGTGTTTGTTCCCTCTTAGAAAAAACCATTTAAAAGGGACGGTAACCGGTAACTGACTAGGCTCTTATATTCAACATTGAATAATTCTAATTCATTGTTCAAGATGCGATACTTGACGAGTCGCTTGTAGAGAGGTTTAGTCGCCTAAAAAATAATACAGATGACTTTTAAATATTGCTCTTTTCGATGATAAAATCTTACAGTTATAATTGAGTAAATGCTTGGTAATTGAAAGTCATTAACACTGAGTACTCAATTTACAAGTCATACGTTTGTCAAATAAATTTTGTTAGATTTGTTTTTGCTCATCAATCCATGTGGAAAACTTTCCGATTTAGTTTTTCTTTTAATACGCATCAGACAATATGCTTAAACAACGGGCCTATTTAACATCAAAAGCGTTTTATGAATCCTCATGTTCGAATCACGATTCAAGAAATTTTGCTTACTGTGTTCCATTTCTTGAGATGATTTATTTTTACTATACAAAACCTCAATTTTTTTTTACGTGACAAAAATATTTTATTTTTATGAATTTTAGTAATTCCTTTTGAAGCGATAACATTCCCTCTTGTTTTCGAACATAGATTTTAATACCATGAGAAACTTGTAATCAATTTAGATGTTGAAAGTTTCTACTCACCTGTTGTTTCTCAGATTCGTCTGTTAGTTAATTTAAAACACAATTTGATTCGACTCTTTACACCGCATTTTGTTTTATGTTCAAAGAAGCACTTTTTGTATTGGTTTCCAAAACAAATTGTAATATTTTCTTTTATCATCAGTAATATCAGTTGATACAAAATGCCAAAACAAAGGAGAGGAAATATCACAACAGTAAAGTTGTATTCTATCTTATTTCACTTGATATATTTTTATCAACGAATATATATATATATATATATATATATATATATATATATATAATGATATGTACACCTACTGCAAAAATGAAATGACAACTAAGTGATAATAGAGAATCAGTGTCGTGTTGCAGCATATTAAGCGAATTTTAAAATATAATCCATTTAATTAGGATTACCGGTCAAATGGTATAATTTTAGAATTAAAACCTGAAGATCTTAGGTTTGAATCTTGTGAGGAATTATGTGGAGCAAGAAGGTTTTAAGCTGGGACGAAAGAGCTGTTCACTCCCTCCTGGTTTGACTTGAAGGCAATTTCTTAGATCGGAATTTTCTACATTTCGAGAAATAATCAAATTGTAAGAATGAAGCACCATCAGAATCACACTCTAGTTTAAGGAGAGCTAAACAGAGAGCTCAGCTGATATATGGATTCCTTTGTTAGAATTTTCAGTTGAGCTTCGTTTCATAGGATTTACTGGATGTTGCCTGAGGTTTCTGAGTTGAGGATGATATATTTCAAAACATTTTATCTGTTTTAGCGAATATTTATCAAAATCAACGGTTATACAATCTGATTTATCCATTTTTAGGTGAGATACACTGTTTAAAAATATTCTTATAACGTCCATTAAAAAACTTTCAGAGACCATATTGTGATAAGTATGAAGATGCAACATCGATGACGAATTACAATAAAATATGGTCCATTAGATTGAGTTTAGATTTGTTAGGCGTCTATTTATCACTGTAGACAATAAGCACAGATTAATTATCACAGAGATTTTCGTAGGAATGACGTACATTTTTTTAAGCAAGTGTTTAGTTACATCAAAATGTTAGTGCTGAAATACTATGCCCTCAATAACCTGATACGGCTGAGAGGGATGAGAGAAACCGTCATGAGTATATATAAACTATCAAGGAAGTCCTACTCACTGCCTTCTCGTGACACAGGTGATGTTTACAAAATTAAAAAGACGAAATGAGTATTTCCGGCTTTCGAACCAGATTGGTGGGTACAGTGGATCTACCTAGGGAGTTAGAAAACCTTGATTCCAAACCAACGGTGGTCATGAGCTCTGGGATCCTGAGGTGGAAAATGGCATATGCATCTATTGTTGGTGACTGGTTATCATGGGACTAAATTTCTAAACGGCGCTGCATTGTCGTGTGGATTAGAGCTGTAGGCGAAAAGCCAGATGAGTGTCTTCCTACGAAAATTATCTACTTCGGTTCTGGTACCTGTGAAGTATCCAATTAAGCCTGCACACAAATATAATGATTTGTGTGCTGCATGAATAGCCACGTGTCTCTTTGTACCAATATCTTCGTTTAATTTAGAAATAAAAATAAAACATGTTGATGATTTTCAGTTTCTTTATTCGAAAATATTAATCAAATATTGGAGTCAAATACACTGAATTCATAGATACAGTAGAAGGTTGTATACGATAAATGTAAACAGATACGTATCCTTTTTCCACCTGCTTTTGCCTCAGATTTCGTAAAGCGAGTTCCATGGTGATGTACACTAGGCAAAAATAGCACATTAAACTAATCTCAATATTTCGTAGTTAATTAAACAACAAATATATATAGAAACCTGTGTTTATGGAAGTTATCTTTAGTATATAAAATGACTTGACAGAAGGACAATTTCGGAATATCCGAAGATAACAGAATTTATCCCATTGTTAGCTTATTTTACATCACACAAATACAGGGGGACCTAGCAGTTCCTGTACCAAAAAGGAAAATTTAAGATCATTCAGACAATAAAGGAGAAAGAATATTTAGATGAGATAAATTAATTGAAAGTTTTATTCTATCCGAGGGAGAAATAAATCACAATAATTAGTTGCTCCAGCATGATTTGAGATGCTTTCGTTACGTAAAACCGTTTGAGATGATACTATATTTGCGAGCAAAAACGCTTGTCCGACATAATTAATGTGTTCCGATAGTAAAACAATCGCTTATATAAAAAAGCTGCTCAATTTTACGAGAACAAGCCATCTAGAAATAAACTAGTTGAAACGATATGATATCAACCACGTTCTTTAACAGCTCAAAGTATGAGTCTTTTCCTTAAATCTTTATTCATCTAAAGTCATTCAAACTTATCGGTTTTATGCATTTTATTAAATTTGTTAAGTGTAATCCACTGATTAAAAGATAAAATTTTATTGAGATTAAAAGTTCAAACATAGGATTATTTTTGTTTGTTAACTGTTGAAGGATTTCCTAATCCCAGGTTTATCCTGAAAATCCCTCTGAAAAGGCAAGAAAAGCAATTGCATGAAATCAGACTAATGTAATAATAAATAAAGAGAAAATAATGGGGTTTAATGTGACCAACAAATAATTTTTTTACTCTTGTCTATGATACAAACGTCATATATCATAGTCACTATACAATTAATATTTTGACATGAAATCAATACAGATCCAGCTAGTATTCTGATCTACGCGTAAAACATAACTGAGTTAGGAAATCTTCAATATTCTAACTTCATTACAGTAGGCTTACACTCATGATTATTATTGTGTTATTTTGAGCTCAGTAACATTACGTTAATTGTTTTTAAAAAGATAATCATTAGTATTGTAGAATTTTAAAAGCGTGACAATAGCTCTTTCAGCTTTAGTTAGTTGACTTGTATACTGTACCAGTAATCTTGTTAAAAACACACTGGAATTAATTAAGGAATCATTAATAATTTTCTATTTGATTTTTATGTGCTAGCAAGTCAGTTAACCATTTCTGTGCATTATTCACATCCTTTTGAAAAAAACCTCATGAAATAAATGTGTGTTTCTAAATGGTCACTTTATGAGACTTATAGGCTATTCACAGATATGCGAAAGGTGATGTTTCCTTCTTACCGTGATTATGATTTAATTATTAGCTAACTTGGAGTGAATATTAAAAAAAATAGATAATTTGGTGCAGGATAATAAAATTTGCATGTCATAACAAATTTTTCTTGTACAACCGATACTTCTTGAGTGCTAAACTATTCAGTTCAATGAACACAGCACTTAATCTGTTACTGTAATGATACAACAACTTTCAATCTATTAAAATGTGGTTAGAATGATTCATTAGTCTCGTCTACATAAAGGGTTTTACAAAATTATTACTGGAACAAGAATTAAAACACTAGAATCTCTTATGAGATAGAAAAGTTCTTTTCAAAAGAATGAAGTTAACTTGTCTACAGTCCTGTAAAATATTTAATGTGGTCTAAAATAATTACAATCTGATGTTTCAAATATTTAAGCAACTGTTAAAATAACAACAACTTGTGCCACTCGCTAATCCACATAGAATTTCATTTTATACAATTTGTTAGTTTCATCATTAGTAAGAAGTTCATACTATATAAACATCGACATTTGAATTATATGTTGGATGCTAAAACATTTTGTGATGTGTCACTGATCGCATAAAGTTTAGGTAAATTTCCTAAAAAATACTTTTCTTTCTGTCGAGTTTCAAAGAGAACCAAACATACATCCTGCCTTCCATTGCTTGTCACATTCCGTCTGCTTCAGGACAACAATTTTATATTCTAGTGAGCCATGCATTTTTGCTTAAGGTAAATGCACTTTAAAATTTGAAAAGTGTAACTGACAATAATGATATGATTAGTAATCAATGGTTATTTAACTAAATTTACACGTCGGTCAAAACTGCGAAAATATGAAACTGAATAAACATCGATAATTTAAGATGAAGAAAGTAATAATATAGTTACAGTTATGGTCACATGTTTAATCAAAAAATATGCAGTGTGTGAATTGTTGTAAGTTGACAATGAAATTACATGATTAATAGTGTTGATGAAATGAAAGTATGTAATTAATTATAATAACAGTCATAATTGATTTTAAATTTACACCACAAAAAACACAAAGACGAAGGTCATTATTGATATAAAGATGACTTTCGTCTTATTCAGCTTGAATGGTTAATGTAGAGAAAGCAGCTGGATATATTTTCACACGAAGCCTTTAAATATTTAACCAAAATAGCTGTTGAAGGACTTTTAGTCTGGCAGATTTTGATCGACAAATTATTGAAAACAAAAGGTTTGTGCCATCATTATCAGCTGGTTGGATTGAACGGGTGAGCACCGAGATGCTTTCGGTCTTAACTAGATTTTTACTTAAACTCGCGAGGTGTGTTTTTAGCAAAAAAATGTAGATAGCACGCAAACTGGTAGATTTTTCTGAAGTATCAGTAAATCCTCATATTACAGTGGAAAGCCAAATAAAATTTTTTAGTAGGCAATACTCGAGGAAACTTGAAAGATATTTTATCTCAGTAACTTTAGCATCCACTAAATTTACTGATAAATAGAAAACTGATGAGGTGCGACTTTTTATGCTTTCCCCAGTACACTGTCAGGTTTGGAATCTGTAAATAAAAAGGTATTCTTTTTTGTCAAATTTTTAATGAGAGATAAATACATTTTTTAATAAATAATAGGCTGCAAATGAATTCATTAACTTATCCATTGATGAAGAAAGAAATAGACAAGCTTAGAACCTATACCTATTTTCATTGTTGCATTATGTATTATTTAAAACAACTGTTAAATGGATTCATTATTTGATTATCATATATATATATATATATATATATATATATTCGTTCATTATGATAGGTAGATAAATCAAGCATTTTTTATAGTTCTATAATAAAACTTGTCTACATAGAATATTGATTCATTTTTTGTAAATAAAACAATTAAACTGAATAATTCATTGTTTCCTGATTGGTGTCTGTACAGAAGTTTTTATAAATAAATCATAGAACTGGTAAGTTTATGCTTCATTAAACTGAATGGAATAAATATTAACAATGAAAGGCGTGTATGGTATTTTTTTTGAAACACAATTTCAGCTTGATTTGATTTTGGTTTTCAATCTTTAAATTCATATTTCCAGTTACATGAGAATATGCTCAAATTTAAACGAGG